CCTCTGCGGCCTTAAACGCTGTTAAACCGTCGAATGGCTTTGTGAGATTTATCCGTTTCGTCGATACATTGGAAGTATTGAGAGTGTGTTGTTGTTTGTCAGAGCGGCTGTATCTGTAATTAAATGCCCACCTGCTTCATCTGTGTGTATGTTTTTGGTAACTGGCCAACTTCTGCTTTCAGTGTAAACTTACTCAAGCTGGAAACGTGTTTATTAAGGATTTCAGAACTTGTTTTTTTTGTGTTTTTTTTGTGAGTGCCACATATGTGGAGATCAGCCGAGTTTCATTAACAAACTCCTCGTGTGACAGAAAACATGCAGCTTTGTCAGAGCTGTTTCTGTGAAGTCATCGTAGCAGCTGTCCGTTAGCCAGAGGAGGAGAGGATGTGAGGCGGCAGGCACGAGGCCTCCGCTGGTCGCTTCACAGGCAGCCTTGTTCTGGTTTCTGTACGTGATGGTTAATATGTCTGGATGTACATCACTGACATAAGTTCAGCAGAACGAAGATCATTCAGAGTTAAGCTAATTGAGCAAAACGTATCTGATGCATCATTGCACCGTTTTAAATATTTTGTTTGTTTGTTTTTTATGCATATGTTTAAATATGAAATACCTGGACTGGGGTGAAGCAACACGGAGGAGGATCCGGCATGGCTTACACCAGTGTTAGCGATAAGGTGCATTCCAGCAGCAAACCCCTGAAATTCTTGTCAACACGGGGTCATGATGTTGTCCAGAATTCGCATCCCGCAGCTCCCCAACCCGAGCCGTGGCTGGCTGTGTTTGTTTGTGTTGTTTTTTTCTTTGCTCCAGCCCTGCTTCCTGTAGCTCTGTGGTGTCAACCCGCCCACCGTCCTCCCGTCAGGCCCGTGGAACACAGCCCTGCTGCCACAGCGCACAGGCACCCCAGCGACTGAGGTTTCCTCTTGGACTGACTGAAGTGTTTGCTGTTTCCCACATTGTTGGAATTCAACACCAGCCTGTTTACTGGTCCCCATGTGGCTTCAGTCTCTCTCTCCCTTCCCTCTCTTCTTTCCTTTCTCTCTCTCTTTTTTTTTTTTTTTTTTCCTCTTTCCACAACACACCTTCTTTATATGGTATGCACACCGAGCGTTCACACTAAATATTGAAACAGTACACCTATGAAGGCTTTGGCCCATAGTGCAGCTCCGGCATGACGCAGTCCACCGTTATGCTACATACAGCGTAGGACTGGAGTCAAGGCGCTCAGCGCTGAATGTTTTTAGGCTTTATGACAAAAAAAACAACAAGAGAGTCCAAATACACGACTATAATTTTGAATTACTTTAGAGCTAAACTGTAAATTCTAAAAAAAAAAAACCTCTGAAGTGTAGAAGTGTTTAGGAACGTTCTAGAGATGCACCGCTTTCACAAATATCCACAAACCCAACCAGCCTTTTACAGTAAACCCCAACGTTGAGAACAAATCGGCTTGAAGCTGCGCTCTCCGTGATGGGTTTGGTTTCCACGTGAGATACTATATGGGCATCAGGGACGTCGTTTTCATTCGCTTTATTTTGCAGCTGACAATAAATCATACAGTGAATCAAAGGAAATCATATACATCTCAAGGAAAGAATGTTAACAAGATGATGAGGCGGCGCATGCAAAATGAGAATCTCTTCTTTATCTGCTTTGTTTTTTTTTTTTCACTTCCTTCCCTCGGTACAGCCAGATGGCAAAGCTCCAGCTCTGCAGTCCTCTTCATACACTCATCATGTTTGATGGGCATCCTGCTGCCGAGTTTCAAGGAGGCCATGTGTTTACGAAATGACACTCGTGACAAAAGAAAACTTCTATTTAGCAAGCGGATTCTTGGGTGGGGTGCATGGGGGCAGCAGCGTGTGTGTGTGTGTGTGTGATTGTGTGTGTGTGTGTGTGTGTGTGATTGTGTGTGTGTGTGTGTGTGAGATTGTGTGTGTGTGTGGAGAACAAGGCTTGTGGGAATGTATATATTGTGCTTACAGTAGGAGCAAGGCAGTGGGAGAAGGACTGTATGGTGTGTGTGTTTAGGTGTGTGTGTGTGTGTGTGTGTGTGTGTGTGTCTGAGTGTGTGTGTGTGTGTGTGTGTGTTCATACCGTCCGTCTCTGTTTCACACTGTTATCACGTCGGATGTGTTTTCAGTCACATCCTGCCTTTCTTTTCTTTTCTTTTCTTTTTTTCACTATGTTACAGTACATTTTATTTCTTCCAATATTCCAATACAGATTATTTTTTTTAATCACATCGATATCATAAATATCATACACTGTGGGGGTCTCCTCCGTTGATGGATTCAAACATTCAGGACAAACTTTTGATGTTTTTTTTTTTTTTTTTTTTTTCTCTTAAAAAAAAAAAAAAAAAAAAATCATCTGTTGTACATTTGCAACAGGTTTAATGTCGGTTGTTTATTTGTTCTCAATATGCTATCATCTTATCCTAATATTGTCTTTGTCTTCAATGGTGAGGAATTCCCATCAAAGTTTTCCCCTTCTGTTAATACTTTAGGGAATTTTCAAACGTCGGGATGTATGGCTGTAATGCCCCAAGATTTGTTCTCCCTGAAAGAAACGATAGAGTAAGAATATATTAACTACAGAGCAACCTGGCTTTACGGGGTCTGCATTTACTCTTACTTCATTTTTAGGTTTACCAATATGTTATGCATAAATATATACTATATAGAGAGAAATCAATATGTGCTTTGCAGCATTCCTTTTATTTAAATTTTAAAGCCACGTTCATGCATTAAAAAGCAATTTCATATTTTTGACTGCAGGGTTTAGATGCAAATCCATGGGGCATTACGTTAAAAACCATAAACATCATAAAATAGGAAATAGAAATTAAAAAATGGAGGCAAAAAATGAAGACGTTTAACTGGTCGTTAATAACTGAATGCTCTCTCACTTGTTGGATGTGATAAAAAAAAACAACAACAACAAAAAAAAAGAATCGTATTCAAGAAAGAACACAAAAAATGGCAAGTGTAATGAAAAATAAAACCCGTTTAAAGCAAAGTATTTTTATTCACACAAATTTAATAAGATATATAACAACCGTTTGGTCCATAAATATTTAAGGGGAAATAGTTTCTATACACCATCTTTATCAAGAAACAGGGAAACATGGACAATCTTGATAGAACACTTACTGTACTCAACTATTAACACGAAGATCAATATATAAGGTTCTTGGATTACCCAACTATATCTGAAAGAGTGCACAAATGCTTCCTATGACATCGCTGCCCCCTTTTTAACAGGATACACCATAAAAAGATCTTCGGAAATAAGATGCAAAACAGTACAAAACTAGTGAGGCGCCAAAAGGATGTGAATCAGTTAACAAAGAACACATATATCCTGAATTTCACAAACTTTCTCCCAAGTTATAGCGTAAGGCACATAGTAGAACTGAGTTAGGCATCTACTTCATTAAGTAGACCGAGAGAACCACTTTGTTCTACGAGAGAACAAATTGTGACGCTCACAATGAACTGTATCGACTCCATTGAAGATCTGCTCGCTCTTTCTGTCTTTTCTCTCTATCTTTCAGCCAGAAGAAACATGTTTTTGGTCTGTTCAGTGGCAAGTGTCATTAAAGAAAGTATAAATATGGCCAAAAAGGAGAACACATGGACAATGATTTCCCACTGGCTGCCTCTGACGACTCCACCTATCTGAGGTCATTTGAATGTTCATGTCAGCTCTAAAAATCTAGTCTGCGACGTCGCAACCACTTAATTTCTCACCCTTGCTCTTTTTTTTTTTTTCTTTCCCTTTTTTTTAAAATCACATCGTTACCCTGAGCAACATGATAAAAACAATAATGCACTTTTCACTGGGCAGTATATATTGTCACTGTGCAATTGGGTTTAGCTGTGGATCTGTGGATGTGTCCGCTAGGCTCGATCCGTTCGACTGTGGTTAATCTAACGAGGCCAGCGAGTCCAGAAAAAGTGCTCGGTCATGAAAACGGTTGATTACAACAGTGCCCATAAACTGCTCTCCAATCTGAATTTCTCTCGCTGATTTCTAATCCTCAGACAAATGCCTATCCATGTGACTGCATTACATGTTGAACAGTTACCACTGTACAGATTGTGGGATTCTTTATCACAGTAGAGTTGTGAATCAAGACAAAAAAAAAAAAAGAAAACGTGTGTGGCTTCAGCATCTATCGGCCGTGGAAGCTGCGATGGTAATTTAGATGTTCTACATGTAGCTCTGTGAGATATCCCAATGTCTGATTCCATCCAACTCAGCCTCAGAGGCCGAAACATTCGGAAATAATTAAAGCCTGTTTTCTGGAGTTACCCATATACAGAACATTCTACAAGTTTATTTCCCAAATTATTCCAAAACAGAAAAAAAACAAAAAGTCTTTAAATTGGATAGTGCGAACACAGTGCATACATATACAGGTTTCTGAGGGCAAAGTATTCAGATTGTTTTAAAGATTACCAATTAACCATAAATTAGGAAGGGCTCTTTTTTTCTCTCTTTTCTTTTTTAGCATTATTCAAGACAAATGTACAAATAAAGTCAAATCAAATCTAGTTTTCCAGACAAGCTTCAAGTTTAGTTTTTTTTTTTTTTTTCTCCAATAAGTTGTGGAATCCATGACAATTTTCTAATGCCTTCAACTCCAAGAATGTCCCGTCCAAAATCAATCTCTGCATCTGGCGTGCAGTTTCAAATGCTACACATTAAAATGATTTCCTCGTGTTTTAATGTGGTCGCTGCTGCTGCTGCTGCTGCTGCTGCTGCTGCTGTTGCTCTTGTTGTTCTTGTTTGTGTACACAGTACAGCACTTTCTGTTCCAAGGAGCTGTCTCTGCTTGATTTAAAGGTGTCACTTAAAAAAATAAAATGTCAATCGAGGAAAGGAAATGAAAAGGAGATCCAAAAAAATAAAAAACAAAAACAAAAAAAAACAAATAAGTTCAGGTAAAATAAAAAAAAAAAAAAACTCAGTCTGCTAGAGATAGCTTGTTAGAAAAGGTTTGTCAAGGTAGTTTGCGAAGGGCTCCCCGAATCATGGCTGTCCAAACTAGAGGTGACGGAGGTCACTACAGTGATAGAGGGGTTTGTCAGGTCTGTTAGTGTGGCCGCGCTGGAGGGGGGGGTCAGGGCCCCACTGTCGGATGAGGGTGGAGGGAGTGAGGTGCCATCAGCCTTATCAACACCTCCATTCTCCTGTCGCAAAACGTTCCTTCTGAATTTGGCTCTTGCGTTTTGGAACCAAACCTGCAAACCAATCCCAGTGTGGCTTTTACTTTTTGTGTTTAAGTAAGATTAATTGTTTTTAAAAAAGAAATCATTGGTACAGTAGCTTACATGTCAAGTTATCACAGCTGTCACTGCATCAAGGTGCCTTCAATATAGAAATCCTCATACGATCATTTTCACACAGTGCTTTGAGCTCAAGGGGCAGGTGACAATGAAGCAGTCAGCTCCGCAACACTCAACACAAGAACGTGGATTTTCATAGCAAATCAAAACAAAATCCACTCCTTCAGTTTGTCTTTTTTTTTTTTAAATTATTTTACTGGGAGAGTTAAATTACACTCTTGTTCCCGCTCTAAGGATAAAAAGGACATGTGCACTCTGGTTATTTATAATATTAGCAACAGTTTTAAAGTCTGTATGCTGAAGAACTGCTTTCCTCCTTTCTTTCCAAAAAAAAAAAATAACATTTAACAGTTTCAGATAAAAACCCCTGGATATACATCTAATGACTAAATGGACCAACGAAACAAACGGAAACTAAAAAGATGGCATCAATGGTAACTGTTGGTGTGGGATGAGGGGGAGGTGGAGGAGGGCTGGGGGTGCACACACAGATGTGGGGTGATCACGTTAGAAAGAAGAATGGCTCTCTGCTTACCTGTAGAACTCTCTTAGTGAGGCCTGTTTTCTGGGCCAGCTGCTTTAAGTCCTTGGCATCCGGGTTGTGGTTGATGGCAAAGTAGGATTTCATTGTCCGCAGCTGATGGTGCTTGAAGGAGGTCCGCATGCGTTTGGTCTTCTGTGTTGGAGCGTAGGCCTGCTGGTCCCGGTCCAAGTGATCGGTGTCGTTCTCGTTGCAGCCTGCGGAGAGGGCAGAGAGCAGAGCGCGGGGTTGGCTCGGCGTCTAGCAGCAACAACTGCAAGATAAATCCAGCTCTGCTTTTCTAGAAACCGGGCCTCGTGTGTCCAGATTCAAGAAGTTAGACTGATGACAACACTGTCCAGATATTGTTATTCCAATTTATATAATTATTTGTCACTGAGGAAATGTTGCACTAGTTTTAAGATTGAATATAAATAAATGGTGTTGTTCTATGATCAGGGTTTGAGGACAGAAAGTCTGTCAGACTGTAAAGTCTCTACATTACAGCTGAGTGCTGCTGGATCAGGAACATTCTGCGTATTTATTACATGCAATTAAAAAATGTGACAGTCAAGACACTGAGTGAGCTGACAGATTACATTAGTTTGACCTCTGCACACACAACACACTGGAAGCTGTTTGTTTTCTATACATATATATATAATAAATACAATTAAAAGCATAAAACAATGCTGAATTGTAGCCACACTCTGGGACCGGCCTAAATTATTTCTGTCTGTGTTTGCAGAGACTAACAGGCCTAATGGGCCTCATTTGTCAATAGCTTAGTGTGTAAAACACGTAAAATGGATCCACTAAATTAAATGCATGCAGTGCTGCTGCAGGAGACACAATCTAAACACACAATCTCACCACACTGAAATTATATTAAATGAGTCTGATTGCAAAATGTCTTCGTGTGATTGCGGCAGAAACACCATTAACACTGAATCTTAACCGAGCTTTCATTTATGTATTTTTTCTGTAGAATTGTGTATGTAGATTAGAACATGCTTTCAATGATTTAAGCAGAGAGAAGAAGAAAAAAAAAAGAAGCCAGCCAGGAATATGCACGGATTCTAAATTAAATAGTGTGCTGTATTGATTTTTCGGCTCTCCTTGTAACTGAAACGCTGACCAGCTCCTTTCTCGGTGGCTAATGAAATATTAAATGAAATATGCTAACACTTCATCATGGATGAAGCCAAAACACTCCCACAAATTAGTTCCTGGGCTGAATTACAAATGGCTTGAATCAGGCAGGTACAGAGTTCAGAAACGGGGAGATGCATGTTTTAAATCTGTGCTGCTCTATTATGGAATTAATCACTTTTTTTTATATACATGAGGCCTCTTCTTGGGACAGTATTTTCACCATTAATGTAAAAAAAAAAAAAAAAATCAGTGCCATCTGTGTTTTTTGTGCCTCAGTCTTCTCTGGATTGTGTTTCACTTGGTGTTACCCACTAGGGGTCTCTATATCCAAACAAACTTTCCTGAGTTGTGTGGATCCGCAGCAGACTCACACCTTTCCCTGGTGAAAACAAACCCGAGTGTGCTCGCTAAAGCAGAAACACAACCTCAGACAAAACCTCTTCCTGTTTGTCGTGAACACGAGCCTCCTGATCTGCATGAACATGATGCTGTAATGAGAGATGTGCAGTCAGTGATGCCAGAGCCCAGCAGAGGGGGGGAAAGGAACAAATGGATTTTAGTTGTTCCGATTTAAATTATACATATTAAGTATTTCGATTTATTATTTTAGTTAAGGAGCTAATTTGAATATTGTAGCTTAAATTAGATTAATCACATTACGTTCACAAAAAGAAAAAATGACATACGCTTAAAATATTTTTTTTTTTAAAAAGCCAACAGTGCTGCTCTTAAATTAAAACCCACTCCACTCCATAGACTTTCATTGTCTTCCATTCTATTTAAATGTCCCAAATGAAAAATCCTAATATTCCCACTGGGACCTTTACTGTGTCTGCGGTGCTTCATAATGAGTTCACGGTTCACTCCGGGATTTTCTTTTGTGTGTGTTGTTGTTGTTGTTTTGGTACCTGATGTGGTTGAATTATATTTAAACGTTTTGAGAACATATCCTGTCATTACTAAAATAATAATAATTAACTACAATGGTTATTTTTCTATGAAGGCATCAATGTGAACTTTAGCATTTGCATAATCCCTCGGAATTGTGTTTACGCATAACAAGCCGAAGCTCTTTCAAGCGGAGCGCAGGAGTGTACAGTGTTGTGTGCGCGCAGCCCCCCGGCGGCCTCTCCCCGCTGCAGGCCCCTCCGCACGGAGCCGCACAGTCCCTGAGAACTGTGCTGACCGCCGCACAGGAGGCCAGGGATTCCAACGTCACCTTCAATTAACAAAGAACAATTAACGCGCAGATTACCCCTATTCCTCCCTATTCAGCAGGAACAGAGGAAACTTGGCGCACAATGACAAACTTTCTCAACCGCGCACTAATTCGCAGAAAGCGAAAACAAAATGGGGACGCTGCAGGGAGGGTTGGGGGTCGGGTTATAGCATGCAGCGATTCAATTCACCATTTCTTTTTTTTTTTTTAGATGAAACCTGTACCAACAGTAACTTCATGCGCGCTGCTTTTGTTCCTCCAACGCGAGCAACACATCATTTTTTTTGGATGTTAATTTTGGACACGATTTTACGCAGCTGTACGTTTACCCAATTCACACGCTTTTAATGTGACCTAAATTCCTCTTAATTATAAAAGTCGATGAGCAGGTTGACGGCGAGGTCAAATTTTGATAATTCTCTGCGCAAACACACTCCAGAGGAACTGTGCGTAAAAGACGCGTGGATAAAAAAAATTAAAAAGAACAGCTCCAAATCAATTATCCCGCCACTGCCGTAACGCATCTATATTCACTTCCATTTGCAAGGCCCATATTATAAATGTATGAATTTTAGACATGGAAGGCCACTGAGGGAACTGTGGATTTAAAAAATAATAATAATTTTTTTTAAAAAAGCAGGTCTTCGTGCGTAACGGAAGCAAAACGTATCCAAAACAAAAATCAAGAAAAAAAAATATAATGGTTTAATGTATTTATTTAGCTGTGGAATTTCCACATGATGTTAAATATGTGAAATATTTTTAAGTGTAAAATTAAATAAAGATGGTGAGCTTTCGGTCAACAACGACCATTTTGATTTTAGTGAAGAATCCGTAAAGTCTCCAGAACCAGTGGGTTCGTGACGGATTTAATCTACATGCAGGAGAGCTTCATGTTTAATTTCAGTGAAATTCTGGGAATATTTATACGATTTAATGTCTTCACTGTCCTCCGCTGCTGGGCCTGTTCACACACCAGAAAGGTCAAACAGGCACTTTTGCACCAAAACTAAAAAAAAACAAAATTTAAAAATATAAATAAAAATAAAAAACGAACTCCACTCCAAATGATTTTCTAACATGATGGTGTTTTGTGTGTTGTTGTCTCTTTGTGAGGCTCCGACCAGCAGCAGCAGCAGCAGCAGCAGCAGCAGCAGCACGCCGCCTCACCTGTGTTGTAGCTGGGTATATCTATCCCCATGGCCGGGCTCTTCCTCTTGCGCGGCCTCCCCTTCTGCGCCGTGCCGGTGCCGTTGAAGTAGGGCAGCGCGAGGCCGCCGCCCTTCGCTGCCAGCTCGGCGAAGTTGAGCTGGGGGTGGTAGTCCGGTCCCTGCACCAGCGTCTCGAAGTGCAGCCGGCAGTACACCAGGCTGTCCTTCATGCCGAAGTGGTCTCCGGTGGTCAGGGTCTTGTTGCAGGTGGTGCACGTGAAGCAGCTCAGGTGGTACACGGAGTCGCGCGCTCGCATCACCATCTCCGAGGCTGAAATCCCGAGGTGGCAGCGCGCGCACCTCTGCACGGAGAACCTTCTGGAACAGACACACCGTCAAGACTCCTCGTGCGCAAACACCGGACCGGACACAGAAAAAAAAAATACCGAACACAACTTGCAGTGTCAGAGGCTGAAGGAAAAAAAAGAAGTGGGCCAAGCAGGACCCGGGATACCACACAGACTAAGGTGTGTATGTGACACTAGGACAGGCCTGGTTTAGGTTCTGCCACATCCGGCCCGAGCCTGTGCGTAAAAATGCTTCCTCACTTAATTACGTTTTTTTTTAAGTCTACAACCTCCATAATAAAACCTAAAAGCCACTGACACTAAACAAAAAGAGTGCAGGTAGACTGAAGGCTCAGCTTTAGCAGCCCATTAGGAGAATGACTCAACTCACACATTTAGATGTATTTGTTTCCCTCGTGAGTTATTTACTATTTTTCTGAATAACATCCATGCCCGCCTGTATTATTGTGTACAATATGGCATCACCCATAGCAGTTTGAGACACGCTGGCCCAGTGTACACGCAAACAAAAGCCAGAAATAGATGATTTTTTACGCTACTTTTAAACAAAAACAACATAAATGCACATGGTGTGGGCCCACCACTGCTTCTTGTGTTTTTCTTCTTCACACAGGGTGACTCATGCATTCTTGTGGTTTACATTACACTCAGAGCTACAGAAAACATTACACCTGAGCCACTAGTGAATAAAATAGCGTTTCAGTATCATAAGTGATTCCCAGCAGACAGCCTGCAGCCCCCTGGGTGGCTGTTATGATGTGATCCAGGCAGGCTGAGGCCCTGCCACGGTGTGAGCAGCCAGGGCCAGAAGTGACTGCTCGTAAGGAAACATGCAGAGTTGTTCAAAATAGATTTATCTTTAAAATCAGCCTCAATAAATGTGTCACTGGGCGACAGGGAGGCTTAAAAAAATGACGGAGCAAATATTTTCGTGGCTCAGATGTAAAATGATTGACCTTAATTTTTCTTACCTGTAGTAATCCTCCTTGCAGTAGATACTCCCATCCTTGGCAAAACACGTTAGCTCCGACTCCAGCGCTAGTTTACATTCACAGCATTTGAGACACCGCAGGTGCCACTGTTTGTCCACGGCCAGGAGGTAGTATCTGTCCGAAATCTTGCCGCCACAGCCGGCACACAGGGCAGGCTTCTCCGGGCTCATAGAAGGCATGGTCTGGGACAGAGAGGAGGAGAACAAAGCTCAGGGCAACCAGCTCCCTCAAACCACTGCTGGGCAAAGCTCAGGCTAAAGACAATGTGCACAAAATAAAAAGCAAAAAAAGACAAGCAGCAGGCCTGTAGTGGCTCTGTGGCCCTGAAATTAATTTAATGTGTCTGCCTTAGTGATAGAATAGTTCAACACATCCAGGCTTGATAGGCCCAGAAAACAAATGTACAGACAAAATGAGCTGAATATGGAGGAGCAGGAGATAAATGTGTTTTATTATTATTAGTTTAATGTCTCCTGTATTTATGGAGGTAAAATTCAAAGCAAGCACGAATTAACTGGAACAGGTTTAAAGCAAATAATTTAAAATGTTTCAATAATCAAATTAAACCAAATAATAATATTTCAATGTGGGTTTTTTATGAGGTTACCTGTGGACATATAATTGTAGTATTTTCTGGCAGATAACAAAATAGTTTCAGTCGTTTTTTAGTCTTTAATTTCGTGATTCAATTAATGCACTGTTTCAGATATATTCAGACCAAACCGTCTGTAAAAACACAGCCGGTTTTTTTTAATGTTTTTTTAATTTTTATTTTTTTTATTATTATTATTTTAAATTTCAGGAGAAAAAATATTTTTCGCTACAGATGAAATCCTCCACAGTCTCCTACTTGCCCCCTCCAAAAACAAAAAAACAAAAAAAAAACCCACCCTGCACATTTCCTCTCCCGGTACCGGAGCCTCGGTGGTCCGCAGTGAGGGGGGCTTTAAACAGCGAGTTTTAACATGAAGTGAAACACGGCTCGGCCCGGCTCTTACCGACTCTCTCCCGTTGAGCTGCATGCCCTTCGCCAGGCGCGACTCCGTCTTCGACCTCCTCTCCATCTCCTCCATGATCCCTTGGATGTGATCCCCGGAGATCCCGTGGAAAAGCATGGCTCCCGGTCCTGGACGCAACGTGCAACTGCCTGCCTCTGTCTTGCAGCCCACAACTTCCATATACTGTACCGCTGTAGCGCTGCGCCCCGCTCTCTCAGCGCATCCAACTGGGCTCTGAGGCTCTAAGAGAGGCACACAAAAACAACCACAGCGACCCCAGAGACTCAGATCAGCTCCTCGGCAGCGTGCAACTGGAAGAAGAAGAAGAAAAAAAAAAAAAAGAAAGAAAAAGAAAAGAAACTACAGCATGGGTGGGACAGGAGCAGCAGTGGTGGTGGTGGTGCACCAGCTTTTTTTCCTTCTTCCCGTGAATGTTTCTCCTCCAGAAGAAAAATATATAGTCCAAGTGATGCGGTGGTATAGCTGTTGGTGGGAGGGAGGAGGGGAAGGGGGGCTTACAGTGCGTAACACTGGCCACAAATAATGACACAAAGTTTGTCTCGTTTCTTTCTCTCCCTTTTTTTTTTTTTCTTGGTGATTTCTCTCTCTCCCGGTTTCCCAGTCAGGGGCTCCTCGGTGCTTGGAGGTCAGGTTGGGACTGCCTGGATTTGAGAACCGTGTCCTATTTGTGAAGAGAGCAGAGCCGGCCCAGTCTGAATAATTTGGTAGGAGGAGTTCCTCTCTCTCTCTCTCTCTCCTTCCTTCCTTCCCTCCCTCCCTCCCTCTCTCTCCCCTCACTCCGTGTCTGCCTCTCTCTCCCTGCACCGCCGCTCATTCCTATTCACCAACAAAGAGCTGTCACTCTCCCTCAAAAACTCCCGGTTCGGGCTGCGCGCAGGACCACCACTTTATGGTATTGACATTTTCATTACTTTTATTCCCCCATTTAGAGCAGAGCAGGCCGGAGTGTGAGCGGCACAAACTGGACTTACAGTAAAGTCAGATTTGTATTTATATCCAAATGAGGCGCAAATAAAGTCCAACAAACGGCTCGTTGTGACATTTCAGGTTAGGAATAGAAATAAATCACCTCCTGCTGGATTTGCCATTTAAGGAGAGTTAATTGGGTTTAATTTAGATTTTTGTGAAACTCTATGATTTAAATGCCACCGTTTGAGGAGTTTAAATAATCAGGTGTTTAGATGTCCCAGAATAACGTAATAAGTGTGTGTGTGGTATAAATGTATTGTCTGGGGCGGGGCAGTGATCAGTGATAGGCTGGAGGGCGGGGACACGGTGCATTAAACTATTTCAAATAATAGGATTTTTTTTTCTTTCCCGAAAAAAAACAAAAAAAAAAACTAATGAAGGAGATTTGGTTTAAAAATAAAAATCCATCCAATTTCATGGTTCTCCTTTTAATAACTCTTTCCTCTGCAGATAGAAGACAATTTGAAGAAACTCTATTTTGGAAATGTCGTCTTTTACGCGCAGAAACGTGTTCTTTAAACGCTCATTGAATCATGAAGCAGGAGTTTATTCCCTGTCACAGGTTTGTTCACGCAACCCTCGTCTCCTCTCTTGAATCAGGCCAAAGCCTTGTTTACCTGATGAAGCTCATTTATTTGCCTCATAGGCTTTTGCAACCAGCAGTGATGTGAAAAGGAGATAAAAGGGAGCTCCATGTGGTGGTCGCCACAGGGAAACCACCACCGCTTCGTGCATATTTTCATCAATTTATGCATTTTAAAAATTACACATAATACAATCTGGGCTGTGCAGGACTTCAGTAAAGATCAGTGTCAGTTTTAAAGGGTGTGAAAATTCCTCCATGCAAATGAAAGAAAAAAGGAAGAAGGGAAGGAGGGAAGGAGGGATGGGATAGCTTCAGTGGTCAGCGCGCAGGCCAAACATGGTGACAACAAACCAAAAAGTGAGGCAGCAGCTCACTGTCTGCTCTGTGACAAACACAACGCAGGCCTTTACAGCTAAAAACCAGTCCGGATAATGAGCTGAGCTGTGGTCTGAGCAGAACCAATGAGTCCAAAAGAAACTTGTCAGAAAACAAGAGATAGACTGAGAGAGTCGGCTTTAGTCCCATTAATAGATTTACTAAAGGCTCTGGGGGGTTTGCAGGTGTAGATGCTTCGTCTCAAGACGTGTTACATTATCATGTGAACCCCCCACCACACACACACACACACCACACACACCACACACACACACCACACACACACACCGTGGAGTTGTGCTGCCTTTAATTGGAGGCCCAATAACAGCGCTATGGCTTGAACCCTGGTGGACGAGCTGGACCTGCAGCTGTTCTGAAAAGCATAATTTTCGCTCTGTCAGTGTCTCAGCATCGAGCTCAGAGCGCTGAAAAGAGACTCAAAAAGGACACACGGATTTCATTTCACCTGGACAAAGACGCCCTGAGAGGAACGATCAGCTCAGCTCTGTGTGATATTCAATCTAACTGCTGCTTTTTTTCTTCTTCTTCTTTTTCTTCTGCCTCTCCTCTTGAAATTCTGATGTGGACTCGTTCCCGCAGCGTAATTCTAATATTTGCAAGTTTTTTTTTTTGGTTTTGTTTTTATGAAAACATCCATCACGTCGATAAAGAACCCTGTTTTGACCCGTTGCCTCCAGCGGTGACATTTCATTTGACTGAAGAGGGTTTAACAATGTGTCAGTGAACACCGAGGGGATGAGGGAACCACGTCTTTTGTGCTGTCGTTTTGTTTCCTTTTCTGTGTGTCTAATTAGGAGATTATACCTGCCACCAAATATGTCCTAATGACCCCCTTTGGTTCGTTTGTCTTGTTAGTATTATTACTATTATGATGCATCATAGTCTACATTTAAACCAAATCCGAAATGCGTAATTACGCATTCGCGAAAAACTAAAAGAAAACAAAAAAAGACTCGAAAAATAAACATTTTTAATTCTGAAACGGTTTTTGTTAAATCTGTCATATTAATGAAGTAATCTGGTTGTGTGTGCTACCCTTCATGTCTCATTACTGCCTTTAAATAAAGTAGAAAACGAAGCTGGCTGATTGTGTGTCATTGTTTTTGCTCGACTTAATGAGACCGATTTGCCCTCATTTCGGATTTGTGATCTTGTTTGATGAAATTAAAGCGTCAAAAGCACAAACTAATTAACATTAAAATAAACTGATTTCAAACAAGTTAAAATATATTTTTATATATAAAAACAGTGTAAGCATGTTTAAAATGGCGTGAGAATCCAGACTGGCTCAGTGGGCCACTCACGTTTATCCAATAAATAATACAAAAAATATTTTCAGTCATAATGACAAATACAAACAAACTACTTTGCTTGTGTTTCCATGAAAGCAGCGTTTCCACATTTTGCCGCTGAGTTTTGCACCATTTTGCAAACTCCATTTGCATAATTAAGATTACATCAGACTAAAAAAAAGGAATAAAATTAGAGTATTTCGTTTTATTAAAAAATAAATGTATAGGTGCAGTGGTCTCAGCTTCCATCACATGTGTGTTTATCCCGCAGATGATCTGTGTGCGTTTATCCAGCATCAGATGTGTCGCGCATTGCTTCACACGCTCTCTCTCCTGTCCTTTCACTTTCTCACTCTCTCTCTCTCTCTTTCTCTTTTTTTATATATTTTTTTTCTTAAAACAAATCCCGCTCTCTATTATTATTATCGCCCCAAGAACAAATAGCAAACAGAGAAGGTCTTACCTGCGGCTGTGGCGGTGTGTGAGCTCCCTGTGCAGCGCGCAGCCTGAGCAGCTCCGGACTGTGCGCGCTACAGAGGAGACGCTGCCGGTAGATGGGGGGCTGTTCCTCGTTTTCTGAGCTTTACAGTTCGAGTTGGAGCGTCAATTAAAACACAGGACATTTAAATATTCCTCTCTCGTATGCAGACAGCCCCTCAACACACCACAGCGCCACAGAAAATGAGGAGCCACGAGCCAATGGTCTGCTCAGCGTGTAGGTTCTAATGTGTGCTGCTTTAGTAAATTAAAAAAGAAAGATAAACTACAAGATGTGGCAAATGGCAAAGAAAGAAAAAAAAACAAAGCACCATTATATATGAGAAGACGTAGGATTATTTCAGGTAAATTAAATGTGTTTGTTTTTTTATTTATTCTGGGTATGAATTCAGCTCCTGCATCTCCAAACACGCTGGAAACGCATCTTGAAATCCAAATTCTAGGTGACTTCAAGGCACATCTGGCTCTGAACAATTATAATCACTAAAAACTGATCATCTCTCATCGTTTATGCAACGAGCTTACTGTATGGGGGGGATTCAAGTGGAGCCGGAGCAGCTCTAATTTCACTGGCTGGAGAGGTTTGTGTGAATAAATAATTAGATGGGTGTACAGTCAAAGTGGATCAATCAATCTGACAAAGATATGGAGCACAGCAACACATGCACGCCTGCAGAAAGAAGAAGGAAAGTGTTGGGATTGAATCAGCAAATGCCAAATGTATTTTTCAAAATAGACATTCATTTCAATTTTTTTTTTTTTTTTAATTTTGCATATTTAAATCAGAGCACAGAGGTCATTATTACCAAAGATAGTCGTTTATTTTCTTTATTTTTTCATGACAAACCAAAGATTAAATTATGGCTCACATGCAAAAAAAATTAAGAATAAGGAGCAACCATTTTTTTCTTGAATCCTCCATAAACAGCAACACAACTCCTTTATGTTTGCATCCCCTGAGCTGCTGCATATGTCCCTCCATTCAGTCCTCCTGCAGCTGACAAACTTCATATAAATTCAAAGCCATAACGAGTGTGTTGAGCCAGGAAGCCTTCTGCACACATGTGGCCTGGTGTTGCAACATCTCACAGAAAAAAAAAAAAGAAATGATGAAAAACACACCAACATTTAATCATGTCAAGATTTTTTATTTTATTTTTTAATATGAATACTGTTTATGTTCTGGAGAGCCTGACCCTTAATGAGACCCTCTTTTCTCCGTTTGAGAGGTAAACCAAACACTGGAAACCTTGTGTTCCTTTTTTAATTCCAGTTGTGTTGTTGTTGTGTTGCTCTCCACCTGCAGGCCAAACACTGTGACAGCCATCCGTTAGGAGACGACACTGACGGTTTTTAAAACTCCACCTGAGCTGTGCGTTTGTTGAGGCCACGCAGGAAGTGAGGGCGTCCCAGAGCCTCCCACACCAGCCCCACGGTGGAGAGGCGAGGCGGAGGTGGACTGATTTCAATTGACAACAAGTGAACAGAACATTGTGTGAGTGAGAACTGGGGCTGGGAGCAAAAGGGTGACAATTAATTACACCTCTGTACTGCTTGCATAAATGATCATGTGCCATACTGCTAACAGTCATTTTGCTGTGCTCCTTCAGCCTGGGTTGACATCACAGTGCATCTCATCAATAATGCAACAAACGCTGAGATCCATTTCACAGCGTACCACAACACAGAACGCACACACAGCGTTCTCCGAGCGTGATACCCAGACACAGGCGCTGCAGTTGGTTCAACGGTGAAACCACTGATACAGCACCGACCGCGGGGATGCCTCCCTGCCTCCCTGCCTCCCTGCCTCTCGCCTCGTCTTGCCCGCCTGCCTCCCTGAATGCCTGGCTCCTCTCTGCTGTAGGGCATGGCGGTTAGATTACCACACATCCAGGGTTCATCTGGAGTTATCATTTCTGGGTCACCTCAAGTGACACTCGGTCTCGTGGAGGGAGCTCTCAGTCACTCCCAAAGCGTGGCCAGGAAGAGGGAGCGAAGTGGAGGTGGGAGGAGGAGGAAGGAGGAGGCTCTCCCAGGGTCCACTGTGGTGCAGGGAACCACGGGCTAAACACTGACAGAATGAAGGAAAGGGGTTGGGAGAGAGAGAGAGGGGTTTTGGGGGGGAGGAGGAGGAGGAACAGAGGGAGGAGTGAAGCACTGTAAAGCTGTAGTCACATGTAGCCCAGTCACATGAGCCTGGCTGGCTGGCTGGCTGGCTGGCTGGCTGGCTGGCTGGCTGGCTGGCTGGCTGGCTGGCTGGCTGGCTGGCTGGCTGGCTGGGTGGGTGGGTGGGGGGGGGGGTGAGACATCCTGGAAATATTTACAAACACACAGTGGACATGGCTTCCTAATTATCGGGAGAAATATTAAAAATACACAAATGGGAGTGTGGTGGGGGGATTAAGTGCAGCCACGGCGGCGATGTCTCCAAATGCAGCAGTTTAGAAATAATAATGCCGACAATAAGAAGCCTATAAATAGATCTTTCCAATCCCCATGTGTCCTGTTTGTCGTTTTCTCTCCACCTATACTCCGACTCCCTGCTCCTTCCACTTTCTCCTCGCTGTCTCTTCCAACCGACGCTTCCCCCATCACCCCCCACCCCCTCACTACCTCTCACCACCACCCTCCTCCTCCTCCTCTTCCTCCACCACATCCCCTACCTCCCTCCCTCCCCCCTCCTCTCCCTACCTCCACCCCTCCTTCGATCTCCTCCCTGCTCTGCTCTGCTGGAGCTCAAATCACAACCCCGGTCCCTGGCAGATGGAGGATAGGAGAGAGAAGCTCTTAACTAGCCAGCCTGAGCCTCTGCTCTCTGCACACCAACTGCTGCCTGCCTCCCCTCCCAGCTCCAGCAGCACACCCCCACACACCAGCAGCACCACCACCACCACCACCTCCTCCTCCTCCTCCAGCTCCTCTGGGGACGCGGTATCCTCCTGGGGAACGCTGCGTGTATTAGTCCATATCTGGCCACACGAGAAAGGACATGGAAACATAATAGATGGATGTTCTTTATCACTATATAACCTTACGGGGCAGAGTGGCTTCTTCTGAGGAGACTCGCTGGTTTAGGCGACGCTTGTTCGGTTGACAAGCAGGCTGCTTTCTACTTCAAACGCCCGGAAAGTCAGATAATGTGAAATAAGTTAGAGAAAGCAGTGACATCACTTGTGTGCTAAGCGTGAGGGAGGAATCACAGACACGAGTGCATCAGTAAAACCAGGAGGGAGATAAACAGGCCAAAGTGCTCCTTGGGCGCTCGCTTGCCTTTGACTGCCCCTGACTCTCCTTTTATCTGGGCTCATCTGGCGGCCACGACTTGGCCTGGCATGAGCCTGACCACCAGTTGCGGTCTGAGGGAGAAACTGCTCCTCTGTGCTATTTGCAGCCCTGTCTGTCCAAAGGAATCTGGTGCGCTGACTGTCACTCAGCGGCCATGTGTGTTTTTTATCACTAATTCTACCACAGGGATGCGGTTGTCCATATGACCACTGTGGAGGCTGCTGCCCCGAGGCGAGCTGACATTGTCTGTGTAGAACGACCAGACGTTGATGTAGGGGCTGCTCAAATGCTGCTTGAATATCAAGACACGGCCGCGCACGGAGCCACGCGTGCACCAACACACACACACACACACACACACACACACACACAAACGAACGAAGCTGTGCCTGGCCAATTGCTGAGACTGATGTTCCTTTCAGCCATCACACGACTGACACTCAAGTTTTTTTTCCCCCCGCCAACCCTGTGTCAGTTCCTGGCTGGTCTGGCCAACAGTGATGGAGACACTGTAAGTGACTGTGGTTGAGGCCATTGGCCGCAGGGCTGCTGTGCCTGTTTGAGATGGAGACGGAGGAGGGGAGGGGGGGCTGCCTGGCCTGTCAACTGGTTGTGACTCGAGCCTGTCTGGTCACAGATCCAAACTGGACAGCTCTCTCTTTCTCTGCGGCTAGTGCCATCATCCTGTAGAAAGGCACACGGTATATCGCTGCCACTCTGCTCCAGTGCAGCATATGCTCCGGCTGAGGGTCAGAGACGTTCAGTCCAAAAATGCCTGAAATAAACACCTCACATGTCTGGCTGGCTGTAACATGGGAGTACATCTGCACTGAGGGAGCGCTGCTGTCTGCACTCTGAAGAGCCTTGCAAGGAACCTACTCCCAATTAAATGCATGGCTGCAAGACGTATAAAGAAAAAAACGTATTTGCTGATTTAGTGGCAGGTTGCAGGAATAATTGCATCAACTTAATACTGAGTGTAGTTTAAACTCAAATTTCTGCATTAGTTGATTAGAAACTATTAACGTTGAGGTAACTTCATGAAATTGGCGTCTTAAGGTAATTATTCTTCTTGTTTAGTTACTGATCCGTTCTCTTAACCATTTCAAGACTATTAATCAAAAATATCTTTGATCGTGGACAAAATGCTAATTCCTCTAATTCAATATAAGTCGTTTGTTGAACATAATTATATTAGAAGTCATCATAACTCAAAACAATTGATGCAAACTGCTCATTTTTAAAAATAAAAGCATTATTTTTTTGTGTGTGCAGGATATATATGTGTTTATATATCTGATTATAGTAAGAAATTAAATGCATTAAGATTTAATAATTTGACTGGTGCTGCAAAATACAGCAAAAATCTACAAAAACTCATTTAATAAGCTTTAGTTTATTATTTTATTGTACATAATAAAAACGTCCCTAAACGTGAAATACTGTGATGCTGAAAAAAACTGCAAACATCTGCACAAGGATTATATTTTTTTTTAGCTGATTTTAAAAATAGTAAAATTGTTGAATTTTATGATCAGACCTTGTAAAAGGTTAACATAGAGTTCTTATTGTTGCAGTTATGACTGTTTTCTGTGATTTTACTGGTTATTATAAGTAAGTCAACAAAAACATGTAAAGAAGGAGTTTATTAATCAAGACAATACAGTTAAAAACAGTCTTTTTTTTTACAGTGTAAGTCGACAGCTCTCTCACTACGGCAGCCTCAATAAATCATACATTTAAGGCACCAGGCAAGAAAACATAGATTCACAGTTTCTGCTTTAACATCAGGATTTACTCGTCTGGAGGTAAATTAAGTAAATTTCTCCAGAAATCTGTGCAAGAGGTTGCTGTGCTGTTTGTGTCTCAGTCACCAACTGCTAGGTTAGAACATGATGAGGAAGAAGAAAAAAAAAAAAAAAACATTTCAAACTGTGCCATCACTGGATTGGGAAGACGTGGAGGGATGAGGCAGACATGAAAGTTGGCCTATTTCATGGTCAGGCTGCGGGACCGCCGAGGCCCTGAATGGCAATGCATCTACTTTAATGTGACAGACAAGTCCCTAGGCAAAACCCGCAGAGCCGCGGCAGGCAAGCGGGCCCAGGTACTTGATGAGTGTGACACCTTCACCGTCCCGCTGCAGAAATGTTGCTGCCGCACGCTCCGCTGCCTCGGTTTAGAATAACACCAAATAAATTCGCCTCTCATCCCGCCTGACGACGCGTCCCCAGAACCTGTCCTCCCCAGCACTGTTGGGATCATGAATCTCCTTGTAGCCGCTCACAGGGCTTTGCTCCGATCACTAAGCACTTGCCTTTGGGACCCACCTGCCGAGGAAAATTGTGGCCGCGCCAGTAGGCGGCTGCGACAGAATTCCGCGGCAGACACATCCTCTCATCACCACGCTGTTTGCCCAATCAGGCGGAGACGGGCGAGTGTGTGTGGCAGGTTCAGAGCCAGCGCCTGAAGGCATCGCGCCGCCTGCCCACATGCGCTCAACAAATCAAGTGGCACATCTTTCCCCAACATCTCCAGCACGCACAGGTAGTGCTGCATGAGCGCTTGACCTTACCTGGCGCTATTACTGTGGGCTACAGAGTGCGGTGTTAAGTGCAACCTTTATTCTATATTGGCCTATTAGGAGCCACAGGGCGTTGTGATGGAGCGAGCCTGCCTATGCATGTGTGCGTCTGAGCATGCTGGTGAACATGAGCTGATCTATTGCAGTCCTGGGATAAGAGGGCCCAGGAGTTCATTAGGCTGCAGCTCAGGAGAGCAGCCGCAGGGAGCTGTGCTGTAGCCAAGTGTTGCCAGGAGGCTGAGTTGCAGGTCCGGTGGGGAGGGCTGCTGTTGATGTCCATGGCATGTTTGCTAACAGCCTGATTCCATCAAGTGGTGTAAACGCAGCGCAGCCAAGTGTGAGGGCTGACCCTTGGCCCCTTCCTATTTTTAACAACACAGTAGGCTATTTCAGTCAAAGGTAGACAGTTCAGTCGAGCACTTGTGGAGTGTAAATGATGCTAATATTCATGCAGCCGTACATTTGGGACCGAAAAATAACAAGAGATGCAAAGCAAAAGAGCACAAGACTCCATCTGACTATCTACAGCTACTTTCGCTTATATGCCCTTTATCTGGAGGGCGAAGATCTACAATGCACTTTCAGTTTTCATCTCCATACTCCCACAACCCTTGTAAATGCATCAGAGGAGCGGAATACTACAAAATATTAAATACTCTTGAAGAGAAATGAAAAATGAAGCTCAAGGCATTTCATTGGACATTCGAGAAAAAAAAAAATATCTGAAAAATATAACAAAACAAAAAATGTGATAAAAGACTATTTTACATGAGGGTCTAGTGAACAAATCCTTTCTCCTCCTTCCCTGTTTTGTGAGAATGAAAATAATCCCAAGAATAGTTGTGATTCATAAGAGGTAGGTATTGCACAGACACTACCCATATTTCATCATTTATTACACGGCTAAAAAATGACTCTCAAGTAGTCTAAATAACGACAGGCAGAAGACAGGCAACGCGCGGTGGGCTCCATTCCAAACAGGCGTTTTACCTTTTGGCATGAAGTCTATACATAGAACAGAGAGTTGAATGTTTTCTTCTTCGCCGGGTCCTTCACGTTGACTTGGCCATATGGACACTGGAGGAGAGAATGAAATAAATAAGTGGTGTTGAGCGGCTACATGTGGAGTAGATCTTAAGTCACACAGAGAACAAGACGTGAACATGTACAAAGAACAGCACGGAGCAGAGGAGCCGAGCAAAAAAAACACAGAGCGGAGCCGGATCGGGCGAATTAGAACCGAACCACGCAGCACAGGAGAGGTGGCGGAGTGGGACGGGACGGGGACTGGACAAGCCGGATCAAGACTCGTGATGTGGGCAGAGCAGGGCCCCATTTCCCAAAGTGTATCTGGGATAATGCCACCCATCTATATCCAACTCCTTTTATAGAGTGTTGAAAAAACAAGTTGAACTACAAGATGTTAAAGTTCGATTCCTGTCAACGTCTCACGAAGCAGGAGCACCAGTGGGACTACCTGTGAACTAGGAGCCTTTGTTCTAGTGAATGTTTGTTAGAGATGAACTATGCTTAAAAAACACGCTCCACCAGCCCCAATACTGAACTCATTCATAGTTCAGAGTCTAGTTTGCTGATCTTTCCTCGTGTCAGTCGAGCTTCTTATCGAGCCATGATTGGACTTTCCTACA